GTTCAGCAGTTGCACTGTCTGTGAGCTGGGTCATTTGTCACTGAAACCTGAACAAGCAGCAATGACAATTACCTGTATTATTACATTTCCACTTCTCCAGGGAGAGTATTGCTCTAGCAGGTGCTAAGAATGCAAAAGCACTCGCTTGAAACAAGGGTAACCTGGTGGAAAGGGAAAGAAGAGATGGTGACATTGCCAGTGGTGGGCTATCAGCTGCAGGCAGGTGGTTACTCAGCCCAAACCCACCCTTTATTGGGCATTATTAAAAATGTGAAACAGAAGAATTTCATACTTAAGAACAGCCATAGAAATACTAAGACTCCACAAAGCAAAGTCCTGCCAGATGACTCAACATGATGTAGTTATTAACACAATGCCTAGAACAGGTAATGTAATTACCAGATCTCAGCATACAGGTACCAGATGCTGGTGTAAGGTTCTGACTCAGCAGCACAAGGATCCAGCTGCACGTTCTGATGTACCTACCAACCTGCAGATTTACCAACCCACCACATTAAAGAAGCTCCTTGCTGGAGCTCCTCAGCACTGCATCCTCAGGACCTTCCCTCAGCATGACTTGAAGCACAGTCATTTATACATTCATCTTTAAGTGTGTGTCTAAATAACTATTAGGCTGATAAGAGCTGATTAGATGTTCCAGGTGGCTGGCAATAATAAAAACAAAGGCTGCAAGAATTTCAAGATGACATTCTTAGCATTGGTGTTTACACTTCCCAAGAAGTTGAAGATCTAAAAAAGCATCTACCAGCACCAATCACGTATTTATTGAATCACCTGTACCTTGAAAAACACCACAAATATCCAGATGTTACTTGACTAGAGACAAGATGAACTTTGAACTGTTCCATTAACACTGTAACTTATGGGTTGTAATCAGCTTCTATCAGACTGTACCATGTGGAACTAAACTCTTCATCTGGCCCTGGTTAGTGGCCCGTGTTTATGGCTGGTTTACACCCTCAATAAGCACCTCAATGCCAGTGCAAACACCAGGAAGGGAAAAAAGATCTGACTGGAGCAGATGCAGATAAAGGTCAGAAAAGGCATAAAGAAGGGGGGCAAAATTAAATATGTTGGGAAAAAATCCTATACGTGTTTAACACAGAAAAGCTCAAACCAGAAGCATGTTGGACCTGATATCTTAAAAGGTCTTTTCCAACTTAGATGGTTCCATGTTGCTAATGGTAGCTGTGAAGTTCCCAGGCAGGAGGTCAGAACAGCTGAACCACCACTGGGAAGGAGTTTGGGCCATGAGCAATGTAAAAAGCTGAGCCACTTACCACAAACATTGAGAACACCATTAGAAATTAAACTTCAAAAAAAGACAGGAGCCACCTGAGCACAACTGACTGGCAAACAATTCCCTTCCAAGCTTCCTCAAGCAAAAAAATCAACATGATGAAGTGAAGAAAGGGTTGGGAGGCAGGAGTGAATGATTCACCTTATTTTTCAAGGTTCATAAAGCCAACTGAGCAAGCTGGTGCCCATGGCAAAATACGCAATACCTGTAACAAGCTGCTACTCCTCTGTCCCACCTACACACCACCCTGTGCCCCCCTGATGATTTTTGGAAATATACATTGCAAACACATTCTCCAGTGATGAAGTCACTTGAGCTGAGGCTTCAGTCCAGATAATGAGTTTTGTACCACAAAAAATACCTTCAATCGTATTTAGTATTAAGATCTTAGCATGTCATAGAATCATGGAATCATTAAGGTGGGAAGGGACCTTAAAGATCATCCAGTTCCAACCCCCCTGCCATGAGCAGGGAATCCTCCCACTAGACCAGGTTGCACAAAACCTCATCTAACTTGGCCTTAAAAACCTCCAGGGATGGGGCATCAACAACCTCCCTGGGCAACCCATCCCAGTTCCTCACCACCCTTAGAGTGAAGAATTTCTTCCTAATATCTCACCTAAATCTTCCCTCTCTCAGTTTAAAACCATCTCCCCTAGTCCTATCAGTGTCCTCTCTGATGAGAAGCCCCTCCC